GCATGCTACTGTCTTTTGATATCAATTTTATCAGGCGAGGCTGATATGGGCTAGAAAGGGGCGTGGCTTGTAGCAGTAGCATGTTTTTCTATTTATCATCTAACACATAAAAACTGTCAAAATGACATAATATTTTTTTCCGATTCGAGATTATTTCCTGTGATAATAGATAAAACAGAATTTAATAAGATAAGATTCTTACCTTTAAACATGAATAAAAAGTCCCTAAGAATCACATAAACTTTACAGAACTTTTTTTCTTGAATCGTCAAATTCAAAAGTTCACGATAAAGAAAAGTCAAATCAGCAATCAAACACAATCTACACAAACATTCGTCTTATTTTTTTAACGAAACAATTTTTTCACTTATTTAATAATGATCTGGCAAAATAAAGAAAACATTTACATGTTCTCAAAGAAAATCGCCTAGCCTGATTGTTATGTTTACATGTTTAATATGACGTGAACATCGATGATTTCATTTGCTATATAAATTATGACGTCACTTCATCTAGTTGGTGTATAACTATTCGCTATCTAATCTATTCGTAAATGAAATAGAAATAGAGGATATTAAATGAGTGTAAGTTCAATACTGAATTTATTGCACGAGTTGAATAAACTTATATTATGCGAGCCTCTGGCGAGCATAATATTATTTTATTCAACGAGTGCAATAAATTCAGTCATGAACTTACACGAATTTAATATTCTATTTATCACATACCCAAAATAAGACCGTTTAAAGTGAAATAAGAGTCATTTTTCTTTGACGCGCCTATAGTATAACGCTATTATTTAGCGCGTCTTTACTCTTTTTTGTATAACGCTAATGACGTCACGTCAAAATATATGCACGGCCGTGCAATACCATATTTACGGAGTCGCAAAATCGGCACGGGTGTGTGATAAAAAGAAATAATAAATAAATAAATATCGAATCTTGATTCAAGACTTGTAAGGGTATGAGATAAAACTGTAGAATTCACATGCTGATAAATTGAAAGAGTTCGTGTATATAAATGCTCTGGTAAACTTGTGTTAGAACGAATACTGAGTCGGACATAATTTTGCCGGAAGGCTAAAGTTGAATTTTCGTGAAGGAATATAAAAGATATTTCTAAGAATGACTAAAAGGGCAAAATTAAGAATGCTAAAATGAACCGGATTTCCCTCTTATTATATAAGCATTGCAAATAAGTTATCGTCATTTACAATTTTGACAGCACTGATCTGATTATAAAGTATGCACGATGTTCCCAGTACAAATTGATGCTTTTTCATTTTAAGATAAAACCTCCAGAACCTTGTAATTTTATAATCTATTCGCCAAAAAACTTATAGTCACTTACAGTTATCCGATTGTCTCGCAATTATAGTGGCGGTAGCAATTTTAATCATGCAGCAGCCTATGAGACACTTTATTCGACCATACGGCTTGAACACACTACCAATTCCACCCACGCGTGTTTTTATTGTATTTTTGGAATTTTTGAAAATGTCAATTTCTTGACCAACTTGTAGGTCTGGGCCTACATGGCCTAATAGTAGCTACGCCACTGTTAAATACTTTTATGTCATATTATCCATGAACTGCTCTGTTGGACCAATTTTGTAACGGATCACATTTGTAACACATGTCAAGAATGCGATCTCATTCATAACAGGTGTTACAAACGTGAAAAGAAAATGCAACATATATGTTACATTTTTGTCACGAATGTGATCGCACTGACAACAGGTGTTACAAACTTGTAAAGGAAATGTAGCATATATGTAACAAATTTGGTTTTACAAATGCAATCGATGCCGACTTTTGAATAGAAGTCACATCCGTAAGAGGGTGAATTTCAATATGCAAAAGGGAACAAAATGTGCATTTTAACAACTGAATCACATTTGTAACACTAAGCCTCAATATGTTTTGTTACATGTTTGGTTTGGTCATTAAATCAATTTGTTTTATAGGGATGAAAGGTGTTGAATGCATGGTTCTAGAATATTTCCACCATATCCAGAGTATGATACAGTTGGTTTCCAAACAGTGGATACGGTTGAATGAAATATTCTTCCCGTTAATGTTGTTTATTTATTTTTTAATGAAGATCGCGGATATAGATATAGAAATAAAGGATTTGACGCAAGTACATTGGATGCAAAGGCATGTAACAAAAACAAACAATATATATATAATCATATAATCAATTTATTATCACTAATATCTATTAGAAATACTAATATTGGAAAGTATAACACAAACACATTATTGCAAATCATAAACAACATGCATATTTGAAAGTATATACACACAGCATATACTGTTAAAATTCTAAAATATTTGTTGATCTAAATAACGTCAAAAACAACAAGAAATGACAAACGACACATATGCCCCCTTTCTAGCCCTTGACTCATATTATTGGGAGTTTTGTTATAGAAACTTGCCATAATTTGGTACATTGGGAAGTGTTCAGATATGGAAAAAATGACTTACTAGTTATAACTTATCAAAATGTGAAATGGTCTTTTAACTAGTGACCCCATTAAGACTTATTAATATGTGAAATATGAAAACGTCGTTATAAATAGTTTTCAAGGTAATAAACGGAAACCATTCTGACATTTAAGGCCCCTTTGACCTTGACCTTTGAACAAGTGACCCTCAAATTAATAGGATCATCAACTACATATGACAATTTAATATGTGAAATAATGAAGACTTTGTGACAAAAAGTTTTCAAGATAATGAAGGGAACCATTCTGACATTTAAGGTTCCTGTGACCTTGACCTTTGACCTAGTGACCCAAAAATCAATTGCGTCATTTACTAGTTATGACCAATCAGTATGTGGAATATGAGGACTTGGTGATAAATACTTTTTAAGATAATGAGTAGAAACCATTCTGACATTTAAGGCCCCTGTGAACTTGATCTTTGAACTGTTAAAAATCAATAGGGGTCATCTACTATATATGACCAATCAATATGTGAAATATCAAGACTTTGTGAGTAATAGCTTTCAAGATAATGAGCGGAAATCATTCTATCTTCAAGGCCCCTGTGACCTTTACCTTTGAACAAGTGACCTCAAAATTGCTGCGGGTCATCTACTTTATATGAATAATCAATGTGTGTAATAAAGAGACTTTGTAATAAATAGCTTTCAAGATAATGATCGGAAACCAGTCAGACAATTATGGCCCCTGTGACCTTGACCTTTGACCGAGTGATCCTAAAACTAAAAGGGGTCATTTACTACATATGACTTAGCAATTTGTAAAATATGAAGACTTTGTGATACATTGCTTTCAAAATGAAGATTATTTAAGGCTCTGGTAAACTTGACCATAGACCTAGTGACCCCAAAATCGATAGGGGTTATTTACTACTTATGTCAAATCAGTACATGAAATATTAAGACTTTGTGATAAATAGTTTTCAAGATAATGAGCGGAAAAAATTCTGTTATTTAAGGCCTCTGTGACCTTGACCTTTGACCTAGTAACCCATGAATTAATAGTAGTCAACTACTAGTGATCACCAATCAGTAGTGAATTTATGTTTGTTTGTTTGTTTAATTTTACGCCTTTTCCCAACAGTATTTCAGTCATATAGGCGAGTAGTTTCCTAACCATCGTTCCTGGAGAGTTACACCAGTACTAGACTACCTTCCTCCGCACTAAACTACCAAAGCATCTCCCGGGGATCGAACCCACGCAAGAGAGGTAACTGGATTAGAAGTCATCGACTCTAACCCCTCGACCACGGAGGCGGTATCAGTAGTGAAATATAAAGACTGTGGTAAATTGTTTTTAAGATTATCAGCGGAAACCATGTGGTCTACCTACGGACAGACCAACCGACCGACAGATATTAGCAAAAACAATATACCCCCTCTTCTTCAAAGGGAGGCATAAAAATGAGTAAAAAGTTTACTGTATATCCCTTCTAGGGGAATGTTAACATATCAAAGACAAATGTTGTGAATTAACTGCCCTTTGATGACTATAGAAGCAGTTTAAAAAAAGCAAACAGACAGGCTCAGAATTTACCGAAATTCAATGCAATATTAAAAGAAAAAAAATGATGAAAATTTGGGATAACAAAACGAAAACGTTATGGACAAGCCCCATCGAACAATGCTGACCTTTGATCTCTAAGTGTTACCATTTTTTCGCACGCCGTGTCCCATACAGTGAACAAAGTTATTTCCATACATCGGCTATGAATTGTACCCTCCATAGGACAATGTTGACTTTAGATCTACAAGTGGAAACTTCAAAATAACAGTAAAGTTCTGGTTGTTACGCATGACACGTACCGTTCTTATCGATCCAAAAGTTACTTTAAATTAACTTTGTGATTTCAACAGAATCACTATTAGAAACACTTGAATTGCTAGACGAAAGTTAAAACTAATACAAATAATTATAAAGAATATATGTTCTGTTCTGAACAAGACTCATATTTAACGACAATGGCTTACTGCACTTAAGTGTTGTTTTAGTTTTTTTCTAGTCTTTCAGGACCACTCTAGCACATGTAGTACTGCTTAGGGCCTGTCTTAGGGGGATGTTGCACTTATTCATAAAAAGACTCAATCAAACCAAGTCTACAATTTTCATATATTTTTTTTTTACATTGCTTCACGAATCTTTGTATGTTTCATGAATCTCCCCTTTTTCTAGATTTTTTTTACATAAGTCATCGTGAAAAAAATCGGCATATACGATAATGAACATCATAACATTATGCCAATTTTAATATACCTGTCGATAGGTAAATATGTATCAGTATTTTTTCATTCAAAATTATTCACACTGTTTATATGAATATACCTTCATTTTCAATGAAATGGAATATTTTTTCACCTAATTGATGTTTATATATTATTGAATTGATTTAAGACGGGAAAGAAAATCTGTATTGTTAAGAATGTCATAACATAAAATTATGAGAAAACACTGAAGGGGTTTCAATAAGACATCAACAACCATGATCTTAACAGATATTTTATCACAATAGTATGATGTTTATGTTATTTCATAGTTTGTTTTTCTTGTTGAGCATTTTTACCAACATCAAAGTTATTTGCATACAAATGTTAACAACGTCACTGAAATTAACACAACAACATTTATACTGTTGTTCAAGTATGCAAACATTTAGCATGTAAAGCGATAGATTTAATAAATTTCTTTTTTCGCTATGATACTTATAAATCTACTTATAAGAAGTTTACCAATTATTTCTGGCCTAAATCAAATCATACAGTGGGAGCAGTTGCCTTTTCCGGAAAATCGTTGAATGAAAGAATAAATCATAATTTAGTTTGTCTTATTATTCTTGAAATATTTGGTTGAAGATTAATCTTCAAATTTTATCAGAGTCTATATATTTACATGCATAATCAAAACTAGAAAGAAAAATGTCTTACACTATAAATACAAAGATTTTTCTTTTTGTCTTTGCTACAAAGCTTGTGATCTGAATTAATAACAAATTTAGGAGTCAATCATTATCATTAAACATACAACAATCACACGATAAAAATGCTTGAAAGTATTAGGGAGAAAACTATAATAGCTATGTTGTAGAAATGTAAAATAATGTTGTTTAAACCATATGCTTACATTGGAAATTCACACAATTCCGTTAGAAAAACAAATGTTAAATATCACTTTTATAGTAAGATACATCGAAATCAAAAGAAATTTTACTTGAAGTAAAAAATTAATAAAATGTTTGAAGATCTTGTAACTCAATTTTTTATGGTTTTATATCCTTAATATAATGCTAAAATGAAGATTTTTCAATATTGTAAGTTCAAAAAAGCATTGTTTGTAAAGATATTTCCAAATTTACATTTCATGTTAATCAAGGGAGATAATTAGAAATTTATTTTCTATAACGTCCAAGTCAATTTTTTAAAAAAAGAAATGAATGCATATATTTTGATGATTACATATAATATGGACAGTACATATTTAACATATTCTTCGATATGAAAATTGTTTTAGAAGCATAATTATATACATATATAAAATTTCTATTAAGTTTGCAACATACATGATCTTTAACACGCACTATAATTTGCTATACAATCCGTCAAGAGTTATCTTCCTGAAAATACTCATTGTCTAGTATAAGAGAAAAATACAAGATATTTAAATATATACAAAAGACTATAAGATAATTATCATAATAGAAACAATTTGGTAGTGTTTTCCTTTTTAATTTTTTTTGGAGACACTTTTTATCTTAATTTATTTTATCAAAATTAAAATAGAATAAAACACATCCATATGATTATCTTTACAGTAAAAATTGGATTCTATTTCTTAAAAGTTGAAATATTCCTCTTCATCCATCTTGTCATCATACGAAGGTCTGTAAGATCTATCCCAAGAATGATCAAAGCCTTTGTTGATCACATCATTAGCACTGGCTCTTTTAACTCTCAAAACCATCATTGTGAATCCCATTGTCATTACGGGCTCTGTTAGATCTACCTCCAGTAACGCCATGGTTGCTTTTGAAGATTCCATTATCATAACGGGCTCTGTTTGCTCTAGTTCTACCACTATCAGAGCCGTCGTTGTGTATTCCAAACGAATTACCCCTTTCAATGTGAGCTCTGGGGATATGTAGTGGTTGATTGTACTTAAAAAGACACAAATTGTATACAATGATAATAAATTATTGTTTGTATTACATTATGAAATATTGTTTGCGAACTTGTATGTACATAATACCATAAAATAAATGCATTTTAATGATACTATTTGGTACAAGATATTATAACATTTATGGATTCTAAAAGAAGAAACGGTCAAAGAAAGCATCTGCTATTTTCAACACTTGCTTGAATTGTTGAATTTGACCAAGTTCCTTTTCCTTAACAAAAATGATACTGTTATGAATTTCAAAACAGCCTAAACCTTTTGGACCATAACGTTTAAACAGGCCTTTGTATGATATTCAAAATAATCTTAATCAATCATGATATATGTCGTGTCAGAAAACTGCACATGAAATGATATAAAAATTCTTTTGTCGTAAAGTTTTGTTTTTGTTTGTGTATGTATATAATAACGTTCTTCCCAATATCAGGGCTCTAATACGAGTATAAAGTATAAGTAAACATACCGCAACATCTCGTCCGGCGAGTTCAGTGAATCCAGAATGCTTCTGGTTCCATGCAAGGACTTTCGAGTTGAATCTTCCCTCGGAGTTAATGTCTGTAACATTTAACGCATACATTCATATACTTTACATTAATCTATAGACTAAAGATGTATGATGATATTTTTGAAAATTAACAAATTCGATATTATATGAAATGAAACTGGTGCATTTGTTTTGTTTGTTTGTTATATGTTTTATCCAGAGTCCTAACAATTTATATTTCATTATATTTCACTTATTTCACATATATAGTCCCCTATGCTTTAACGTAGTTATGTTACCCTTTTAATGATTATGGTCTTGTCCATGGCAAAAAATTAAGGTCACGAAAGCCTCAAAGTGTATAGTTTAAGGTCAGGCAGCCTAAAAAAAAATTTTGT